CACACCCCCCCACCCCACTCCTCTGCAGAAGAAGGTAGGAAAGACAGCTTGGCAATGACCCCAGAGGAGTCTGGCCAAGCTTCTCCACGGGGCTGCCACGGCCTGTGTCTGCTCAGGGCCCAGCCCCCTGCAGGTACCTCAGTCAGCTCATGGCGCCGAGGAAAGGCAAATGCTGCTGGCCTTGGCACTCCTGACAGCTCAACTCAACTGTCCCCAAGGGACACGGCAACAAGCAGTCAGGTCAGGTAAAGGGGGAAAGGCAAGGGCTGGAGCACCCGCCGCGCGTGCAGGAGGCAGGGGCGCGGGACGCCCAGGGTGCCCTGAAGAGCCTCTGGGTGTAGCCCCAAAACCAAAACAAACAAAACTCAGCTGCCCAAACTCACCCCTCTGGGAGCCACTCCCCCCTCCACGCCCGCACCTCCAATAAACAGTAGCCATTCCGGCCCAAGCCAGGAGACAGGTCCAGTGCTAAGCTCTGCCAAGCTTCTGAATGGTGGCCTGGCACCCTCTCCCCTCATCCCAGAGGGCACTCCTGAGAGTCTGGGCTGCAGGGAAAGGGGAAAGGTGGAACTCTTGAAGGGGAAGGACGCCCACACAAAATGGCCTGCCTGCCAATCTCCCCTGGCCAGCTCCCCACCCCCATCCCTGCACCCCCTGCTCCTCTGGTGTGCCCTGCCCAGCCTGGGAGTACAGGAAGCCCACGGGCTGCACAAAGGAGTCCGAAGAGGAACGCGGGCCATCGCCAGAGGCCGCCAGCGCCTTTCCCACTCCGAAATGGCCTCCCTCGTGGCCTCCCTCGCTCAGAGACCGTGCCAGGGTAGGCCCCGCCCCAGCCAAGGTCTCTGCAGGTGAGGCTACAGCAGGAAGTACAGGCCCAAGACACACCACCCATCCTGGGCACCCAGAACTTCAAAGGGAAGCCGTGGGGGCAGGCAGCATGTGAAGGATCCCCAGGTGGGCCCCGGGAGCCTCCACAGTCTGCACGTTCCCTCCCTCCCCAGCAGTCTCCACTCTGAGGACAGCTCAGGGCTCCTCCAACGGCCGCTCACAACTGGGCCTATGGACCACTCGTGGGGAGCTCTGGGTCCCCAGCTCCCTGCAGCCCGGCCTGGTCCACCGGCCCCTTTCTCCTCCCCTCTGGGCCTCCACTCCAAGGAGCCCTCCCCTAGGCAGAAGAAACTCACCACCATGAACCTGAAAAACCTGCCTGTGCTCTTAACCCCTAAAAGCAGCTTATTCCCAAGGACTGAACTGACCCTTGTTCCCCAACCCCCAAGGGCTGGATCTCCTCCTCAAGTGGCCTCAAGCGCTTTCCAGAGATGGGTCCTGAGGCAAGGATTCCAGACAAGAGCCTGATGGGGGCTCCATGAAGGCCCCCACCTTCCTGGAGCAGACTGCTGATGGACGTAGTCCAAACTCCTAGCCTGCTGTGCCAACTGCCCAGAGACCTAAAAAGTCAGCCAGTGTCCAGCCCTTACGCACCCCAAATGAGCCCAGCTTCCCTAAAAACTGGCAGGGCCTTCCCTGTACGCGGGTGCCCCAGACACAACCCCAGTGTGGCTGAAAAGATACTTCCCTCGGGTGCTCAGAGATGCCTGTCCAGCCCCATCGGGCCCCCTCCCCTCTCAGCTCACAACTCAAACCAGTATGCCCCTCCCCTGGGTCCTGGCTTCCTCAGGGAGAGGGTAGCACAGCCCTGGCCATGACCTGGAAATCCCAATGTTCCCCCTCAGCAACAAAAGCACTGCGTGACCTTGGGCAAATCAGTGGACCCATCTCTTTGAGTCTCTTGATGGAGAGGATGGCTCTTATCTAGTCGCCTCGCTGATTCATAGCCTCATCAGGGCGCACTGCTGTCATCAGCCTGGGCCCTGCTGCCCACATGGCGGCCTTGTCCAGCGAGGCATGGGGCAGAGTGCCCACCCAACACTGGTCCAGTCACTGGAGTGAGGACTGCGACGCAGAGTCCTGCAGCGGGTAGCCCCAGGAGTGGCAGCTCCTAGTCCCCTGCAGAATGACCACAGAAGCAGAATACCGCCAAGGGCTCTGAGGAAGATCTGGTAGTGACAACTGCAGGGCTGGGAGGAGGTTTCCAGTCCCAAAGCCATCATCGGAGTCACAGGGCAAGAAGAGGGATAGGAGGAGGCCCCGAGAAGTGGAGAGAAGCGGCCCCGCGGGAGAAGTGCTGCAGCAGCTCCCAAAGGCACGCCCCGCGGGGGGGGGGGGGGCAAGCTTGGGGAGCTCCACGCCAATCTATGACCTTTGCCTTAAAAAACAGCGACTCTGGGCTGACCCACTTTTCGCAATAAGGCGGGTTAATGATCAAGTTCTGGTACAAACACCTCCTCCTGCCAAAGGGTTTTAGCACTGCCCCCCGAGACCGGCAGACCCCCGGGTCTACCGACGCTGAGACGCTGGTGAACGCCTCCCTTGGGGGGGGAAGCAGCTCCACACACACGCTTCAACTCTCGCTCTTCCCGCACCCCGGCCCTGGAAGCCCCAAGCTGCGCTCGCGCCCAGGGCTTGCAGCTCCGCGCACGGGTCCCGCCTGCGATCCCGGCGCGGCGGACGCGCGAAGGACCGAGTGTCAGTGACCTCAGCCCCGAGGGCTCCCCGTGCGAGCGCGGAGGGGGTGGGGCCGCCGCGTCCATCGGCCGGCGACGGCCTGGCACCCCGAAACCGTGTGCACGCACATGTCCCCCACGGCCCCGCGCGCCCGCGCACGCCCGCCGCTGCCCGCTGCCCCGGCCGAAGCCGGGACCCCACGTGGGAGCCGGGACCGCAGCCGGGGGCGACAGTGAAGGTGACCTTCAGGCCGGGGGCGGCCTGGTGGCGGGCTCGGCAGGATGCAAGCGGCCCCGCGCCGAGAGAAGGCGGCGGTCCCCGAGCAACCCCGGCCCCGCCCGCCTGCTCGGCCCGGTGCAGCCTCCCCGCCGGCGGCCCGCCGGCCCCGGCCCCGCTCACCCGCCGCGCCTGGCCGCCCCTTGCCACCGGTCTGCGGGCTGGGCTCCCGGGCGCTGTCGGCCGGGGCGGCCGCCGGCAACTCGTCCGTCTTGATGACCATGGCGGCGGGAGCGGGCGTCTGGCTCGGCTGTCCGCGCCGCCCGCCGCGCCACTAACCCAAGTGCCCTGCGCGCCGCGGCCGCTGCGGGAAGGACGGAGTCACCGGCCCACGTGGTGCGCGCTGTAGCCTTTGACCCCACCGCCGCTCCCCTGCCCCGCCCTCGCGCCCGGCCTGGCCCACGGAAGCCCGCGAGGGACAAAACGTGCCACGCGCCGTTGGCCGTCCACCAACCGGGAGGGGTTTTTTCCCAAACGCCTTAAAGGGGACGTACCCTGACTCGGGGAAAAGAGACGTCGCGCCCCCGGGGAGGCGGGGCTTTGAAGAGACGTCCTTGCCGTTTGCTGCCCTCGGGCGGGCGCCTTGACCTTGGGTGGAGACTAGTCTAGGACTGCCCAAGTTTACCGTCCCCTCCCCCAGTGGCCCTCTGCTTCCTATTGCAAATCTGCCAAACAGCCACGCGGTCTCTAATCAGCTTAGTTAGCGTGACCCTCGGCGCCCCGGTCCCCGAGCTTTCCCGCCGAAGTGGGTGGGGCTGGGGTGTCTCACTTAAAGAGTTGGAGGGGGAGGGTAGCCTGGGGTGTGGTCTCCAGGGGTGCCCGTAGGTGTTAAGGTAGGAAAGTAATGAAGTGCCAGAAATGCACCCCCCACACACACCCAAACTTTGTCCTGAGCCACTGAGGACCTCAACATACCCCACCATCAGATGGGACCTCACCTTCATACTGGTTCATGGTCTGCATTTTACTGTGCAGGAAACCAAGCCAAGGTCACAGAGCAGGAAATGAACACGGACAGATTCAAAAACCTCATTCTGGTCACTTTACAGTATATATTTTTAGATGTTTAGGGCTTGATTAGGACACATATGAAGTCAGAGAATGCTACCCAGTTGATATTTTATGAGGTCTTTCTAGGGAGCTGAGGTTTTCCAGGCAGAAAGAGTGGGGAAAGATTCTTCTATACACCAGTCCAGAAAGACATTGAAAGCATATAAGGCATACTACTTTTTTTCTTTTCTCTTCTTTCCTTTTCTTTTCTCTTCTTTTCTTTTTCTTTTCTTTCTTCCTTTTTTTTTTTTTTGCAGGAATGGAAAGGAGGGACACACCCCCACAATGCCTGCTACCAGCAGTGCTAGGGAGACCAGAGGGTGCCCTGGATCATGGCTCCAGCATGCAAAGCTCCAGCTCTTTAAGTTACCTCCCAGACTGGTCGTATTCCTGATGTTTGCCAGGGTGTAAAGGGAACTGTGAAGCTGAAGCACAGATGGGCTGAGGCAGGCCCTTGGGTCCCTTCGGTTAAAATTGCAAAGGAGGGCCTGAGAGATAGCACCGCAGTCGTGCACTTTCCTGGCATGCGGCTCACCTGGGTTCAATCCCTGGCACCCCATACGGTGCCCTGAGCACTGCCAGGAGTAATTCCTTAGCACAGAGCAAGGAGTAAGCCTTGAGCATTGCCAGGTGTAATCCCAAAATTATTAAAAAAAAAAGTAAATAAAAATAAATTACAAAGAACTGGGGCCAGAAAGATTTGATAGTTTAGCTGGTAAGCTACTTGCCTTGCTTGTGGCTGATCTGAATTCAACCCTGGTGTTCCATATGGTTCCCCGAGCACTGCCAGAAGTGATTGCTGAGTGCAGAGCCAGGAGTAACCCCTTAGTACCACCAGTGGGGACCCAAAACAAACAAATTGCAAGGAAAATTGAACTTTGTCCTGGGGTACACATGGTGAAAAGCCAAGCCAGTGAGAAGCTTTGAGCACTTAAGCAGTTAGGAAGAAATGAGAAATGCTCTGGCTCTATGTGGGAACTTAGAGAAATGGAATCTGATGAAAGAGTAATAGAGTTAGGAGAAGCGTGAAGAAGTGAGAACCCCTGGACTGAAGCCCATGCAGTGCTGCATCCCGTGTCCAGTGCCTAGGTCTTGCCGCTTTCACCACCATGCCCAAGAGAAAGGCTGAAGGGGATGCTAACGGAGATAAAGCCAAGGTGAAGGATGAACCACAGAAAAGATTATCAGCTAAACTTGCTCCTCCAAAGCCAGAGCCCAAGACTGAAAAGGCCCCTGCAAAGAAGGGAGAGAAGGTACCCAAAGGGAAAAAGGGGAAAGCTGATGCTGGCAAGGATGGAAATAACCACCCTACAGAAAATGGAGATGCCAAAACAGACCAGGCACAGAAAGCCGAAGGTGCTGGAGATACCAAGTGAAGTGTGTGCATTTTTGATAACTGTATACTTCTGTTGACTGTACAGTTTGAAATACTATTTTTTATCAAGTGTTATGAAAATGCAGAATTTTGTTTTACTTTTTTTTTTTTTTTTTTGCTTTTTGGGCCACACCCAGCGATGCTTAGGGGTTACTCCTGGTTCTTCACTCAGAAATTACTCCTGGCAATGCTTAGGAAACCATATGGAATCCCGGGGATCAAACCCAGGTTGGCCATGTACAAGGCAAACGCCCTACTGGCTGTACTATCTCTCTGTATGCCCCCCCTTTAAAAAAAAAAAGCTATGATGTTAGCACACAGAACACTTCATTGTTGTTTTGGGGGAAGGGCTTAAGTCATTAATATGTTGTCTCCAAAATTGGATTGCCTTGGGGAAAAACTTTTCCCCACAAGTTTTGTTTTTTGTTTTCATTTTTTGATGTGTACCAGTCTCTGTGGTGTTAGATATCTCATCGTTGTTTTGATTACCCCACTAGTTTTGAGAGACTTCCTCTTGATTTCCAAGAGGAGGGATTTCTTGACTTGACATCTTACCCACCCTGGTACCCAATGCCTTGTGGTGGGGAAAAAGTAAAATGTGTTTCTTTGTCCTGTCTTCCTCTCCACCTTCAGCATAGACTTGACTCCCCTAACCCCAGAGAGACATGTTGAGCCTGGACTCCCAAAAACTGGTTAGCACAATGTCAGGCCATCTAGACTTTGCAGTGTCCCAACTGAGACAGCAGCTCTCAAAAGAACGGTTTCTTTTTTAAGATTGTGGAACTTCAGATTGATCATTCTGCCATTTTTCTTTCATTTCCTGAAAGTCAGGGTCGGCTTGTGAAAAGTTACTAAACAACATACTAAATGTGAAATGTCAACCCTCACTCTAAACTTCCGCTGTTCAGAGCATCAACTGAAGACGTCATTGGTTTTATAGTGGCTTTCTGATTCTGGTAGGCCATTAAAGAAGAAAGTTTGAAAGTTACTGTATACTGTTAACGATTGTCTGCCCATGTCCTGCCTGAAATACCATGATTATTTATGAAAATTTCTTTAATAAAGCTGGATACAATTTGGCTTGGGAAAAAAAAAGAGTAATGGAGTTAGGCCAGTTGCCCAAGTGGACTGGAAGTCAAGATATGACTATTGGGGCACAAGGAAGGTAGGTAGCACTCAGGTGTGTGCTATCCTAACCCTAGAGTGGATTAGAAATATTCACGCAACTGATCCCGGTTCGATTCCCAGCATCCCATATGATCCCCCAACCACTGCCAGGAGTAATTCCTGAGAGCAGAGCCAGGAGTAACCCCTGTGAATCTCCGGGTGTGACCCAAAAAGAAAAAAAAAAAAAGAAAGAAATTTTCATCCCACAACCTCAACCTTGTCTCTTTTTGGAATCTTGAGTAAGTTACTTAACTTTGACCCCCCACTGAATCTCAGGGGCTTCTATTCTCAAATATATGGAATGTGGATCGAGTGGTAGAGCACATCCTTTGCCATGTATAATGACCTGGATTCCATCCCTGGAACTGTACCTTACAGTCCATTATGGCAAGTTCAATATTGCAAGGTGTGGCCTTGGTCCCCATGGGCCCAGCACCAGCTGGGACAACAACACAAAAACAAAACTGCTCACCTGTCCAGTCTTATGTAGCTATTGGGAGAAGATGGTGATTTTACTCTGCCACAGGACGATTTGGTTGACTGCCTTAGGGAAGATAATCACAGAGGATTTCTGAGAAAAACTCCCAGGACAAAATTTTAAAGAGTAAAAAGGATTTGTTTTCTTTTGTTTTGTTTTGTTTTTGTGGTCACAACCAGCAATGCTCAGGGCTTACTCCTGGCTCTGCACTCTCTGGACTCAGGGATCACTCTTCTGTGTGGTGCTCAGGGGACCATCTGGAATATGAGGGATCAAACTCAAATTGGTTGTGTGTAAGGCAAGTTCCCCACTGTACTATCACTCTGGCCCCAATCATTTATTTCTCTCTCTCCCTCTCTCACTCCTCTCTCTGTGTCCTTTTTTTTTCTTTTTGGGTCACACCCCGAGATGCACAGGGGTTACTCTTGGCTCTGCATTCAGGAATTACTCCTGGCGGTGCTCAGGGGACCATATGGGATGCTGGGAATAGAACCCGGGTCAACCGTGTGCAAGGCAAACGCCTACCCATTGTACTATCACTCCAGCTCCCCCTCCTTTCTTTCTTTCTTTTCTCCCTTCCTTCCCATCTTTTTTTTCCTTCTGTTTCTAGCCACACTCTCTGCAGCATGCCCTGCATTTCACAGGGCTTCTGTGTTCAGGGGTCATACCTGGAAGTGCTGAAGGACCATGTGGCATGCTGGGGATCAGATTCCAGGTGAGCCACGAGCAAGGCAAGCACCCTGCCTGTTATACTATTTCTCTTTCCTTCCTCACTCCCTCCCTTCTTTTCTTCTTCCTTCCTTCCCTTCTTTCTGGGCCAGGGATCAAAACCAGAGCCTCACACTGAGCTACATCCTCTGTCTAGTTACCTATCTTCAAAGAAATTTTATTTTATTGGGATTTTGAATAGGTATTAGAGTTCAAACTTTTAAAAAAAATACAAAGAGTCATGCAGTGAAATCTTACCTCTTTCAAGCCACCTAGTTTCCACTCCAGATCACCAAATTTACCAATTCTATCTTCTTTTGATATTCTTTGACTATAAAAGCATATGAATAGACATATAAATGTATTCCCTTTAGTGTCACAAATGGGAACTTGCTGTACCTTCTACTGTTCATTCTTGTTTTGTTTTTCTTTTTACTTAATAGTATATTCTGGACATTGTCCTAAATCAGTACTTTCCTGTTCCATTTTATGGCTGGACTATTCCATTGTGCGGTTGTTGCGTCAAAATTCTTTTTTTGCTTGATTTTGGGCCACACCCAGAGGCCCTCAGGTCTCACTTCTGACTGTGTTCAAGGATTACTCCTGGCAGGATTGTATGGAGTACAGGGAATAGAATGTGCAAGGCAAATGCCCTACCCACTGTATTGTCCTGGCCTCTACAAAATTCTCTCTCTCTCTCTCTCTCTCTCTCTCTCTCTCTCTCCCTTCCTTCTGTCTCTCTTTTTCTTTCTTTCTCCCTTTCCTTCTTTCTTTCTTTCTTTCTCTCTTTTTGTCCATAGTACCAAGGCTGGAACTGCTTAAAGGCCTTACACATGCAAGACAAGTACTTTCTACTGAGCTACATCTCAGATCGTTTACCAGAATTTCTTTACCCAGTCTGCTGATAGGAACTTTATTTGTATCCACAAAACTCTAAGGGTTTGGAGAGTTGTACCTAATTCTGTGAAGCTGGAGTTGAAAGTGCTTATATGTTGATGATGCAACTCATATCTAAAGCACAGCTCAGTTTTGGGGTTTGGTTTCATTTTTTGACTTTTTGGATCACACCCTATGAGGCTCAGGGGCTACTCCTGGCTCTGCAATCAGGAATTACTGGCGGTGCTGGGGGGACCATATGGGATGCTGAGAATCAAACCCAGGTCAGCCTCGTGCAAAGCAAACGCTCTATCTGCTGTACTATCGCTCTGGCCACCAGCACAGCTCAGTTTTTTTTTTTTTATCTCCCCACATATTCAAATCTGTCTCCTCCCTTGTGACATAGGCAGCAGATAGAAGATGGCCAGGCACATTACCCTTAGAGTTTCTTAAGTTTTTTTTTTAATTTAATTTAATTTTTATTAGTGAAACATCATGAGGTACAGTTGTAGACTTACAAACTTTCGTGCTTAGGTTTCAGTTATACCATGATCGAGTACCCATGCCTCCACCAGTGCCCATTCTCCACCACCAGTGTTCCCAGTAACCCTCCTCCCACTCCCCTTCTGCCCCGCCTCTGTGGCAGGGCATTCCCTTTTGCTCTCTTTTTCCTTTAGGGTGTTGTGGTTTGCAATAGAAGTATTGAGTGGCCATCGTATTTGGTCTATAGTCTACTTTCAGCACATATCTCCCATCCCGAGCGGGTCCTCCAAGAACCCTTTACTTGGTGTTCCCTTCTCTATCTGATCTGCTTTTGCTCCCAGCATGTGCTACTGGCTTCCAAACTGTGGAGCGAACTTCCTGGTACTTATCTCAACTATTCTTGGGTGTTTGTCTCCCATTCAGCACAGCTCAGTTTTAACACTGGGACCAACAAACCTGGGAATCGATACACACAGACATTTCCATTCCCCTTCCCAGCTTTTTCTACCATGGCCTATACATAGTGTTATGGCTAAGAAGACCATGTAGACAGTACAGCAGGTAAGTTGCCTTGCATGCAGACAACCCGGGTTCAATCCCGAGCATTCCATATGGTCCTCTGAGCCTGCCAGGAATAATTCCTGAGTGCAGAGCAAGGAGTGACCCCTGTGCATCGCCAGGTGTGGCCCCAAAACAGTAACAACAAAAACAAGATGACCTTGTAGTGTCGCTGACCACCCAACTGAGGCACATCTGAGAGAGAAAGTGCATGTGCCCTTTTCAGCAACAATGCAAGTCATCTGGTTCTCAGGTGGGGAGTGTAGCAGCTAGAGCAGGCAAGGATCACAGCTTATGTGTCTTGACAGTGCAGCATCTTCCCAGAGCTTGCTGCAGGGTGGGTGCTTCCCGTACATCTGTTGGCTGAACAAGTGGCATCTTGAAGTGCCCCAGAATATGGAAGGGGGAGAGAGTTGCTAGCAGCCCCGGGTTTTACCTTTGACCCCATCATGGTTTATAGTGGCTGGCTTTCCTTGCAGCTGGTCCCTTTATGTACAGGAAGCTTTGACCTTAGTTTTCAGAGCTTCAGATCATTTCCAGGATGCCCCAGTGAGACCCACCAAGCTGAGTCTGGAGAACACAGCTGGTACTACGCCCTGGACTCCCTCCTGGTCAATGACTATAAGTGCTTTCTGTTCAGTATAGGGGCCAGTGACCAGTGTGTCCACAGAGCTTGTTACTAACCATCCCAAAGCCTTAGAACCTAAAATTTGGTTCCCATGGATCCCTTCCCTTCTCTTTGGCAGGTTTCTATGACAGGGTCCCCAACCTCTGGGTGGGCTGGCTGGTCACTCCAGAGCACCTCTGCTTCTCCACTTTTTTGTTTGTTTTTTATT